GGGGGGGGGGGGGAAAGGACCATTAAGAACATCTTGATTAATCTAGGCTTCAGAACAACAGAGTAAGCACCAACAGGACAAGATTCTTAACATTTATAGGTCCACCCTAGAAATATTACTGAAACCATTTATATAATTTATCATACAAGACTAGCTCAACAATCTTAATCATACCCATATTTCTTAGACTGGCAGAGGAGCGGTGGTGAAAGAATGCTATGAGGATAAGTGAGATAGGCAGCCCTAGAATTATTCGGTTAAACAAAGAAAACTTCCATATTTATCAACAGCTGTGGAGACCCACTGTAAGCCATCAATCCCAGGGAACGTGGCAGGGCTATTGGGAACATGTTCAAGTCTCCACACCTCTTCCTTCTTTTAGAGTTATGAGAAGACCATTATCAGAAAGTGTTAAAATGCGGCAGCTGTCCTGAGTTAAATAACTCATGCCACCTACCCTATTAAAGCTTTCCTACAACTGATATGACAGACGGGGAAACCTCTTTGCACTTGCCCCAACATATATTTACAAGCCTGGTTGCTGAACATGCCGTCTCAAGAAGGGCTCTTCTAGAATTCAGCAACACTCCGAAGACTTCAGTGACAGTTGTCACAGGTCACACAAAGCACAATTTCTGACCAGGAAATTGGATGGTTTGTATATAGAGCCTGTGCTTTGGGCAGAAGGTGGAGGGATGTGCGGCAGATCCTTGCTGCCAGGTGGGCAGCCTGTTGGCACTCTCAGACCTTTCTTGAAATCCTCAACCAGCTGCTGGGTTGTCCTTTCCCAGGATGGAGACAGATGGAAGGCCGGGGGTGAGTCCCAAGCTGAAGAGAGGTGAACCTGCTCCAGGTGGGGAATGGTTGTCAGGATTCATCTCACCCTCATTTGACCTGAGAATGACTTAAATTAGGGTGAGATGACTCAAGACAAACACTACCCACTACCCACCAGTTTGCCAGGAAACACACTTTCCTTTTGTTAAGTTACTGTATTGTAACAGAAAGGCTGAAATCTAGTAGCCCCCTGAATCAGCGGAACTCAGAGAGGAGCTGACTCATCAAATCCTCATTGATTCAACGAGTCCATTCTACTTGCAACTTACTACCACGATTTCAGCCGCTATGCATCGCTTTATTAAAAAAAAAACTTTATAAAATAATTCTATGTGGATCAATGATACCGCTTTAAATTTGACGCAAGAGGAGACTGTGGTTCAAAACATTTGAAAAAGGAAGCACAAGACATTTGTACCATTCTTAGCCCACTTTCATTTGTTCCTGCTACGAGATTAAGTCCATAGCATGTATTTTGCCCAAGGCAAGGTTGTTCATTTTGGAGATGTGTACAACTGTGCACTGTATAAAAGCCAGGGGGAAAAAAAAGGGGGGGGGAGCTCATTTACCTTCTGAGGATGGCAGCATTCTCAGTTAAGATGTTTGGACCGTTTGACAGGCTATCCCTTGTGGGATGACTTTCACTAAATATAATTGCACCTGTTGGGTTTAGGTTCTTCCTTATTCCTGTTACTCTGTATTTCAAAAACTATTAAACTTGCATGCACTCTCTTATGTCATTAGATGACTTGTATTTCACAGAAAGAAAATGCAGGGTATTCTTAATGAACTTTTATATGATCCATAACCTTAAGTGGGTCCTGTATTGTTAGCAACGTGTCCTCAGCAAACAAAGGAATCTTAGATTTATCTCTGTTCTATGGCCTATGCCCTGTATTGTTGCATCTTTTCTAAGAGCTAGGAGTTCCTTAATCAAATCAAATGGGGTGGAAGGGGGCATCCTTGCCACATATCCTGGCTTAAGGGAAATCTGTTCATTTACTCCATTGATCTTGATTATTGTGACTAAATTTTTAGCATATAATATAATTGCTGGACCATACCCCTAAATCATACGCCAAATCCAAGTTTTTCCACTAATCTTTTAAGTGTTGCCCATTCCAATGAATTAAAAGCTTTGGAAATATCTAATGCCATTAGTCTGCTTTATTTTTGTTTTTAGATATCAAATGCATTAGATTCAATATTCTTCGTTTACATTTGCCTTCCTTTTATAAATCCCTTTTGATCACTCTTTATAAATCTAGCAATAAAGCTATTCATTCTTTTGGCCAATAATACTGTAAAACATTTTGCATCTTGATTTATTAATGAAATAGGCCTATAAGCTTCCATATCCAGAGGACCTTTACTGGGCTTTAATATTGTAATAGTTATCTAGTGTCTCCCGGAAGATGGAATTTCTTCTCGCTCCATTATTCGATTAAACAAAATGTTAAGCTTTGGCATTAATATTTTCCCCCTAGCACTCCTTTACACAATCTGCTCATCTTCCCTCCCTGTTCTCTTACTGTGAGACTCTTTCAGCTGAATGGGGAGATCCCTGCTTAGATGGTTGCTTTCTTCTGATTTACACATTCCAGAATGGCTCCAAGACTTCTGAAAGTTTAGGCTGACAAATAATCTTATTTAAAAAAATCAAACACACCTTTAAATCTCACCTAGACCTCCTTCCAGAGATGAGGTATGTCAGGAGTTCACTTGGCCTGCCATTTTTTCTGTATCCCAGCCTGCAGAAGACCCTACCCTTGACGTAGGCTGGCTGGATTTTCTGAGAGTTAAATACATCTAGATAGCCCATCCATTCCCAAGCTGGTTCCAGATGGCTCACTGCCTTACATAGTGGCAATTACGAAGGAGCACCTCTGTCCTGCCCCACTGGCTTTTAGTGACTGGTAAAGCATGTGAAAGAATCTTCTTCACAGCTAAGGACTTCTGTTTCTGGTTTCAGCATTAGAAATAATTCTGAATCTCCTCCCTCTGGAGTCCAACCAGTCAAGTGTTCAGAAGCTAAGTTCTCCCTTCTGATGCAACTTTTGTCAAAGCAAACACAGCCTCCATGGAGTAGCAAGGAGAGGGAGAAAAGATCACATGAGATATCAACCCATTAGGGAAGTGGTCCCCAATGTTTTTGGGGCCGTGGACCAGTTAAGGGGAGCGAGTGTGACACCCCCACCCATGAGCGCGACATGCCCACCGCGCGTATGCGCAGAGGGGTGGAGATGCGTATCCGTGGCCCAGTCTCATGGACTGGCACTAGGGCACAGACCGGGGGTTGATGGCCCCTGCATTAGGGGATACAATGATGTCCATCATGGTTCCTGTCCATCCGTAACCACAGAGATTACCAATTCTTTCCCTGGCTGTTTTCAAGGTACTGAAGCGCCAACTCAACAAATGACCATGGTTGAACAGCCTGGACAGAGGACCCAAAATCAATTCTATTGTTCTAACCTGCCTTTTTCCTCTTATCCATTTATCTCTATTCAGCCAAAAGAAACAACCTTTCTTTCCTGCCTGCTCTGACACTCAGACTTCATTTCTACATGTTCAACCCAACACCTCTAGCCTAGATAATCCAGCTCTGCTCCCAGCAATCTCCAACCCTATGCATGCTTAATTGGGAAGATCTAGTGGCCTTCTGGAATGTGTTTCACATAACAATTGGGCTAGTACAACTACTCTTTCCCCAAGAAAAGAGAAGTTGACTAAAGGTATACACATCTCAAAATACTGCTATAAATAAATCGCATAAAGTAGGATAGAAGTACTACCACTCCCCAAAGTATTTCAGTTGCAAAACTGAAGTTATCTACAATTTTACACTGCAAGGCAAAGACTATAGTACTGGGAGGAGACACATATTATGCAAGAGGCAAATGTTAGCACCTGCAAGAACGGGGTAAAGGTGTATGTGCATACAGATGTCATACTTAACAACGGCTGCCCATCAACAGGTTGCATTTTGGAAGGGGAAAAAACACAACCCTGGGAGGCTGGTATGTTTTATTCAAAACAGGAAGAAAGCTGTGATTCTCAAGATTCTTTCAGAAATGGCACAAATTGTAGCCATGGAAATTTCTTGATGCTAGCAATGATGCTACAGACATATACCAATCATCACAATCAGGCATATTTGTTACAGACGTTTGTTGCAGAAAACATACCATCATTATTTGTGTCCATCTGTCTGAAAATTTTGTCTGTTCGTTTCTCTGGAGTAGATTCATCTTCTGGCATTTTCATGACAGAAGACACCATTTTATAGATTGCCTGCATGGAGACAGCAAAATACGGGAAGTATATTTTGCATCGTCTACAAACTACAGATTCAATATAAGAATATAAGAAAAGCTGACAGGAAACTACAATGGGACAGTTATGGGACTGCCAAACAAATTATCAGCTCAGTCTGCATTTCTGAAAGAGAAACAGAATATGTACTGCTATTTGCAAATAATGGCTCAAATCGTTTTGCCTAGTTATGCTGGTGTAACACAAGTGCTGTAACTTTTAGAGCACTGCTTTCAGTTAAGAAATCATAGTGGACATTGTTTGTCACATACAGATGCAACCAATAATACCTATTGTGATTACTTAACCTGGGGCAATTTGCTTCCAAAATGTACAACCGCTTATGCAGCTATGCAAGAGAATTTGGGCCACCTATTACTCCCATTATATTGCACGTGCGGGTTTATACAGAAGCTTGTATTACTAAGCATAGCAGATACATATTTGTAATATATGTACGTATTATAATATAAATATTGGCTGAGCTCCTATACGTTATGCGAGGCACCACTGTATAAATATTGGCTGAGCTCCTGTAGTGTAACTTACACCTGTGGAAAGGTCACAGTGCCATGGCGATTTTCAGTAATAATTATTCCATCCCATGGATTTTCCAACTCCTCCTTATCCTTTTCACCGTGTAAAGTTTTTTATTACTGAGAATTGCCCCCTGCCTGTGATATCATCACTCTTCAGCAGGCATAAGTTACACAACAGGATTTCACCCATTGTCAATCTGTGTTAGCCATACTGGGTTAGGAAGAAAAATGCTCTAACACTGTATAGGGTTTTTGTTTTGTTTTTTAATTCTTAGGTCTGCATGTATGTGCTGGGATTGTTTATCTACGGTTGGGGCCTGCTGTTTGTATGTTTGACTTGTTCTGTCACAGACACTTACTGGTGTACTCCCTCAAAGAGAAAAGAGAGAAAGGTAAAGAATGGAGACCGAGGTTCTGATGAAGTCTGCTCTCTGTGATGCATGCATGTATTTATTACACACAAACTCTCCCGGTGTCTCTCTCACCCGCTCTTTCTCTCTTAATACACAGCAAAATTGATATTGCTATGTATTGGATCATAATAAATATATTATTAGTATATTGAACCCAGATTTAAGCACATGAAACTGGGTTGGCAGAAGCGGACTTTCCTTTCTCCTGCCCTCCCGTGTAGTCCATCCACCCAGTGCCTTGAAAGAGTAATACAGAGGGATAGGTGATCCTTCTCCATGAGGTAGGCGCAGGTGCAGATGAACGAGGCAACCTCACAAACTGGGAAGAGGCATCTTCTCGGAGTGCAGACCTTTCCATCTATGGAAGGCAGAACTCAGATCCAATTATTTATATCTAATAAATAACATGTTCCTCAATTCTTTTTTGGTTCGGATGTTCAGTACCAGATGGCAAGACCTTTATTCGGAATATGTTCCGGGCCTTTGGCATCTAAGAACAATGTACACACTACTGCATTATTTGATGGTTAACTGCTGGGTACGTGATACATTTAATAATATTTTGGAACTGGGTCAAATTAGGAGGTTTGAGTGTGCTTCTAGAACAGATTTACTCACCTGCACTATCTCAAGCATTTCGGCCCGGCTGATGTACCCGTTGCCATCAAGGTCGTACATGCTGAACGCCCATTTCAGCTTCTGTTCAAGCTTTCCTCGAGAAGTGACACTCAGAGCAATGATAAATTCCCTAAAGTCAATTGTCCCGTCGCCATTTGTATCAAAAGTGCGGAACACATGCTCTGCAAATTTTGAGGCATCGCCATAAGGGAAGAAGTTAGCATAGATCTTTTTGAATTCCTCAACAGTCAAATGACCCGTTGGGCAATCTTTCAGGAAGCCCTTGTACCACTCTTGAAGCTCATGGTCTGTGAACTCAGTATTCTCTCGGAGATCCTGGAGAACCTCGGGTCTTAATTTACTGTTCTGTTTCCCCATTCTGTTCTTGGTTAATGTCTAAAGGCTGCAAAACAAAAATAAGAAAAAATAGGTCATTTCTAAAGCCATTGCTGACATTCTAAATTTAGGGGTATTAAATACAGGGAATGACAGAAGGGATAGTAGGCGCAGACCACACCAGCCTGAATGCAAAAAAATGATTGTTTAATTCATGCAAACATCTGATAAACAATTCCTTGAGAAGAAATCCAGAAAATGTCCGTCCCCACTTTCATCCAACCTTACGACTGCTAATAACGTGGCTTACAAACAAAGGCAACATGGATCTCTGTACAAGTCATTTCCATCCCTTCATGCATATAAATAATTACAGTGATGCCTTGCAAGACAAATACCTCACACAACGAAAAACTCGCAAGACGAAAGCGTTCTGCGATTTTTTTTTGGTGACTTGCAAGACGAATTTTTCTATGGCTGTGCTTCACATGATGAATTTTTTCTCCTTTTTTTGGTTTATTTTAAATTGCAAACCGTTAGTACAAAAATTTCGCAATATGACACCGTTAGTACCGCACTTCGCAAGACAAAAATTTCACAATAAGACATGACTCATGGAACGAATTAATTTCGGCTGTATTCCTCTTGGGTACTATGCAAAAGGGACAGCATGTGAAGGCAAATCATAGCATGTTAAGAAATTACCACAGACATTATCCACTGAATGAGGTGGATGCAACCAGACAGGGATTTGTGCCACTGTTTCATCTGCTCTGGGCATGGACTAATTTGCTTCTTTTCTTGGCAACCACATGACAGAAGTGCCATCACAAACCAGCCCACCCCTGATGCACACCTACCCACACTTTTTGTCTCTACTTTTTGGGTTTGGGCAGGATCACTCAGTCTTGGCTTGGTTCCAGCATAATTGCTGGGAGTGAACCAAAGTCAATGGCTTAAGCAATAGCTTAAGCCACTTGACAACACTGGAAACTGAAAGCTTCCTCCTGCTCCTCCATGGAGGGGGAGAGGAAGCAAAGGGACACTTTTTGTCTCTACTTTTTGGGTTTGGGGAGGATCACTCAGTCTTGGCTTGGTTCTAGCATAATTGCAGTGACAGCACTGGAAACTGAAAGCTTCCTCCTGCTTCTCCATGGGGGGGGAGAGGAACCAAAGGGATTTTTTTTTTTAAAAAAAAAGTCTTGTAAAGCAGCAATGATGCAATTCACTTTTTAGATTCTTTTTAAAAATTGAATTGTCTCCTCACAGACAGAGGAAGGGATTTTTGTTTTGTTTTGCTTTGTTATCCCCCCACCTTTCCTTTAAAGGGAGAAAGCACCAAATAGGGTCACTTGCGATGAAGTGAAGGTTCATCACCAAAACGGCTGGATGCTTGTATATGAATGGAAGGATCACATCAAACCTCTGCTTCATACCTCTATATCACCAAAACAGCTGGATGCTTGTATATGAATGGAAAGATCACATCAAACCTCTACTTCATACCTCTATGTGACCTCAAGGGACCCTATTTAGCGATCTGGCCCACTGCAATTTGGTAGCCTAGTCATACCTTAAGCACTCAGTATGTGACAGATAATGTCTACAGTGATTTTTTTAAAAAGCAATTTGGTAGCCTAGTCATACCTTAAGCCATACAACTCAGTATGTGACAGATAATGTTACAGTAATTTTTTTTAACAAGGCAATTTCCTTCCCAAGGTTATGCTTTTGTGCTCCCCTAGTACAAAAGGAACTATGCCACTGTTAATAGTACGAGTTGTGTTTGGTGGTGGCCATCAACAACAGATCTGAGTCCTTCAAAGTGGTTTTGACCTTTATCCCCCCACCTTTCCTTTAAAGGGAGAAAGCACCAAGTAGGGTCACTTGCGATGAAGGTTCATCACCAAAACAGCTGGATGCTTGTATATGAATGGAAAGATCACATCAAACCTCTACTTCATACCTCTATGTGACCTCAAGGGACCCTATTTAGCGATCTGGCCCACTGCAATTTGGTAGCCTAGTCATACCTTAAGCACTCAGTATGTGACAGATAATGTCTACAGTGATTTTTTTAAAAAAACAAGGCAATTTCCTTCCCAAGGTTATGCTTTTGTGCTCCCCTAGTACAAAAGGAACTATGCCACTGTTAATAGTACGAGTTGTGTTTGCTGGTGGCCATCAACAACAGATCTGAGTCCTTCAAAGTGGTTTTGACCTCATGAAGGTTAATGGAAAATGGGATCAATTTTGCTGATTTAATTTTTTACTGCAACCTCTCTTGTGGCATCTCACCAGCAGCAGAAGCATCTGTTGGATCACAAGGCTTTTTGTGAACACAACACACAATTGTTTGCAACTCTGTGTTCTTTGTGTGAGACTCCAACAGCACCATTAGAATCATTCTATTCTTATTCTTATTCTCTCCCTCACTGCCTGTTCCTCAATATTTTGCATACATAATCACAGTATTACAGTCCCTATGAAACCCCGTCCATCTCTCTTCCTAACAGTACTATTTGTGAAAATAAAATATAAGACTAAGACTAATGATGCGAATCAAATCTGCATCCTATTATTGTAATCATTTTAATAGTCTTTCCCTGTATAATATTTTTGCACATTTTTATGGCAGGTAGATTTTTTTAAAAGTCTCCAAATAATTTCTCACTTTATTTGGGACTATATATGAGTATCACTTTCTAAGAATGTTTTCCCCCCTTCTTCACTGGACAAGCAAAGACTGACAACATAAAGTGCTCTACAGATATTTCCAGGATCAAGAAAAGGCACACTCTTGTCTAGATATATTTCCTACATCCCTGTCATCTAGATGTTCCTCCCTGATTCATTAAGTTTCTATTTAATTTAGACACTGGATGGTTTCTTTTTTAGTTTTCTCTTGCTGCTAAACGTCCACCGTTGCATACAGAAATATTTTAGAAATGCTTCGGAAATGGATTCAAGAATTCCAAAACAAATAAAGCGAGCGAATACAAGGACAAAGGGAGACACGGCAGCGAACATGGGAAAAAACCCACTGAGAGGCCAATTCCCCATGAGTACAAGGACCACCGCAGAGGGCTTTTCTTACTCTTCCCCAATCACTAGCACATGGGACAAACATGTTACTTAGGGAAAGTGTTCAAGTAATACGTACTTTACTAGCAACAGGAGTGCTATGCAATTAAATTAGCTTTCCAAGCCAGATACTGAGTTGTGAACTGGGCAGCTGATCTATCTAGATGCAAACCTTGTTTTATGAACCTGGCAGAAGAAATTTGCAGGAAGAATTGTAGCAAGATGTAGCCACTCAAACCTCAAGCTATGTTTTAAAAATAGCAATCCACAGATTTTCGAACAGAATCACAATGCTATTCATTTCCAAATCTTGCTGGGTCTTCCCATATACAAAGATTCTGGGGTCTGGATAAACTATGGAAGAGTTTGTATTGACACTGGATTGGGCAAAAGAAATAAAAACAACTGATGGTTGTTTTAAAAAACAACGACAAGACATTTCCAAATATCCCTTTTCCCTAGGAACAAATCAAACACTGAGAAGCTCATGCACACATTGCAAAAGGCCATGGCTACGCTTTGGATATGCTGTGTACACTGCAGAATGTCTGCATCAGATGTGTATATCTGAACTCTGCAGCTGATCTATCTTTGTCCAACCTGCGGCCCGAGGGCCGCATGCGGCCCAGGTTGGCTCATAATGTGGCCCAGTGCAATTTTTTATTTTTAAAGAAATTCCAAAGTTTCAAGTTACACTGCTGGCGCTTGCGGTTGGGGCACGTCACAACGGTGGGGGAGAGAGGGAAGGAAGGAAGGAGTAGGAGGGGGGAGAGGTGGGCTGTGTGATAGCATTGTGCCCTTCCCGTCAATAGGTGGACCCCCTCCTGGCCCCATAAAGCCACTGGAGTCGAAGCTGGCAGTCTCTGCTGTCTATCACAGCTGCCGGTAAGCACGTTTGGAGCGGGGCTGCGGAGGACGGCTAGGGCTGCCCCCCCCATGCAGCCCAAACCAAATTTATGTGCGGCCCAAACCAAATTTTCATCTTCTAATGTGGCCCAGGGAAGGTGAAAGGTTGGACACCCCTGATCTAGAGTCTTCAGAACCTCTTTGTTTATCCAGTTATCTGAACCTTTGTGATGCACACACACATACACAAACATACATCAGAAATTAATTTGAAGATTTACTGGGAAATAGTAAGAGTTACAGTTCCACAGAACAGAAAAAAGCTTGTTCCTTTCAGAAATAACTCTTTAATTTCCAGTTTCTCAAAGGTAATTAAAGAGACATTTTCTACTTAACTTTAGAACAAATACTGTACCTGAATGCTAGTTTGTGGTATAAAACACAGTCCTCTTCCACTCAATCTGTCATTCCTTGCCTCAAGATCCACAACAGAGCCCAATGCATTGAGTCACAAAGTGCAGCACAACCCTTTATTTAAATGATTTGATATTCCTGGTCTATCATTTAGCAAGACTATGTGTGCATTAACTATCAAGTGCCTAAAATGTTTTTTTAAAAATGGCAAGAAGGCAGCTAGGCGAGTCTTGTGGCACCTTACAGCGTGACAAGTTTTATAGGCATAAGGAATGGATAATACCAAAATGTGTCATATAAAGTGGATAATAATAACCTATTTTAGTCTTCTGAAGAGGGCTAAAATATAGTTAACATTCTTTTATTTTGCTGCACACACAAGACATTCAGTAAAATTGTACCATGACACACACATCCTTAATGGAGGGGCCATGCAGTTCATCCAAGCTTAATTTTCTGTCTTTCAAAACAACTTTCCAAAGTAGCTGATTCAGCTTCGAATTGCTAAGAATATTTCTCAAATTATATTATCTGTGACAGACTAGAAGCACATGTGCCCTCCTTAGAGGGAATGGGAGTTAATAATGGTGTTTAATAACTAAAATCACAGCTACTGTTGCTCTTAAAATGTCATTTTTAAAACGTTATATGTATTAGTGGCACTCTGGCCCATTTGAGAAAAGAAAGCAGCAAATTTAATTTTAACCACTGAATCGACACATT